TGGAGAGTTAGCCGGGCCATCTCTCTTGGAGGTGTGTCCCCAAGGGCCAGCAGCACGGCCCAAGTTTGGCTGGAGGGGGTTAGTGCGTGTGTACACTGTGTATGAGTGAGTGTAAGCATATGATGTCGCTTCCTTTATCCTATTCCCTCCTCTTTTTGACCCCCTCGTGGTACTTTTTCTTTCACCGTATGTGCTTGAGCATCATTCTCCTGATTGCACCGACCTCTAGCTAATCTGCAACATCCCTGAGAAAATGCATCAGTATTTATTCATACACTTACTCCAGTGAGACCTGTAATAATGGAGATTGTAAACAAGTGGTCTAAACTTACTGAGCTGTGGAATCTTCTTCATAGCCCCTTGATTTGCCTACTTGGATCATCTCTTCATTGTTGCTGTTAATGTTTAACATTGGAGGTAGCAGGAGTGGGTGCAGAAGGGAGATGGACAGAGGTCCACCTGCAGTAGCGAGTGGCTTCACCGACAGGTCAGCAGAGGACACCGAGAGTGGTTGTCTTCACACTTCACTGGAATGATTAGTATATTCAGGAGTACAGCAACCAGGGCAATAATCCAGTTTTTATTATCAGAAACAAGCTGCAGACTGAGAAATAGAGGCACAAAGGTATCACAGATAACCTGCCTATGACTGTAATCATAGTTCATGTAATTCTAAGGGTGATTTGTATCAACATTACACTTTCTACAGTAGAATGTCATTTTTTTTGTAACTTCTTTTATAGTTTTGGCCATTTGATGGCCGCTGAGAACGGAGAACGTAGCGATATGGCACAAAAAAGAAGTCAGACATCTCATACAAGTTTTAAACTCCCAGATTACCCAAACCTCTTTGTGTAAAATTATTACCGAAACTATACTTTGTACACATTCATCAAAGTTTCCAAACTGAATTCCTGGTTCAGCGTTGATATACAATACTTAGTGCAGTTGTTCACACCCAGTTTTTGCATACAATGACAGTTAATAACCGTCATTTTGGGTGAGTTCACTTTTGTTTTCCCTTTCAAATTTCTGAATTTCCCCCAGGTTCAATAAAATATTTATATTTCTATCAAAATAAAGTGATTTAGTTATTTATAATAAATAAACTTAACTGTTTGCTTCTTTACAACCTGTCTGTATCCCTGAATGCTCAGTTATAACTATCATTGTATTTCCATATCTCAGCAGTAATGTGTATCGGGTATCATTTAATTGTATCTGATAAGGCCCAAAGCTGTTGAGAAAAGACCTAAATGGTAAAAAACTAGATTTATTTGTTAGCACTTCTTCTATTAATGCATCTATTGCTGGCAGTAGATTGTCTCAAGGTTTCAAGCCTAGTCTTTTAAAAACTTTTGACTTGTTTTTATACTTAAAATTGTAAATTTTGAGTCAGAATAATGCAAAGTTCTTCTTGTTTTAAGAATATGCGCACAAACTTCTAAACCCGAAACCTGACGACAGGCCCCCACTATCCCTCCCTAATATCACACCTTGGATGCATAAAGATGCCTACGCTCCACACATCACCCCACCCCGGGGGGTTGGGGGGCTGCATGGCTTTAGTGCCGCACCGTGACACCAATCAGGGGAGATGGCGGGCTCCTTTGTCATGCAAACACCAATCGTTTCTTGTCTTATTCAAATGTCTGCCCTCTTTCTTTCTCTTCTCCTTCACTCTCGCTCAACCCCTACTCCGCTTCGCCCTCCCACCCCTCCACCCCTGACATCAGCCCTCTCTCTCTCTTTCTCTCTCGCTCTTTCTCAAGTCCAAGTAAATCCTTGCCGAGAGAAGAGGGAGCCTCCAGGCCCGGGGCTGCTGTGGCAAGCCTCTCTCCTGGGGGTCAGCCTGTGTCTCAGCGCATGGGGCTGTTTCCAGTCCCTACCAAGTCCATTTCATATTCAAATGTTACAATCAGGCCTCTGACCCACAGGGGGCTCTTTATGGCTGCGGCCCCAGGTCGCAGGGTCAAGATGGTGATTTAATAGCTCTGGCAGAGGGAAGGAGCGGGAGAGCCAAGTGATTTAGGGGATGAATGAGTAATAAAAAAGCATTTTTCCTAAGTTGTCATGTAAATTTCAGTCCTTATTCAATATGAGGCTCCCTCCACGCCAGAGGCCTTCCTCAATGGCTGCTTAGTGGACTTGAGTCATTCACAATTAAAAAAAAAAGTCAATTTTTTTTGTGTTTACTCTTGACTCGTGGTTGGTGTAAACATTAGCAGTCGGTAAAACAGCTGAGGATTAGGGATGCAGATAAGGACATGTTAAAGAGTCATCATGCTTGTGTGGTGCCACTGTGTCTCAGATGTCCTCATCCTCTGGAGTGGCCTGTTATTCCTGTCCCTGAGGGTGTGTTCCCAGCTGAGCAGCTCCAGTAACACAGACAAGATTGTGTGTTCATAAGTGTCACAGAATGAATGAGGTGTCCTGCATATTATGTGTATAGAGGGTAACCTATATGGCTCTTTATCTACAGGTGGTAGATGGAGGCTGTAAACACTGGCACACCAAGTTTCTAATGATTTGCCATGTTTCTTTACTGGCATTGCAGCTACACACCTTCTGTGTATATGACTCACTGGTGTGTCTTGTTCAGGCCTTCCCTTCCTTCACCCTGACTCATTTGGATCACAAACAAGTTTTTCATGTGTTTGATAATGACATTGGTTTTTATTTCACCCCCCTGCACATTATCATAATCCCTGATTTGAACCCAGTCCTGCTGATGTTTACTTTTTTTTTTTTAGAAATATACACAAATGAAAACTGTGTTGCTGTAAAATAAAACAGAGATTTAATAACGGGATAGAAATGCAATGAGACAGGGTGACAACACTAATTGCAGTGGTGAACAAATAATAAATGAATGAAATCTATTTTTGTGTCTTGTCAAATGACACACCCTAACAGCATATGTAGATGTTGCTTATAAACCATGTAGTCAACTCATTGTACTGATTTGAGATTTGAAATGTGGCACTATGCATAAAATGAACAAATAGATAAATGAAAAGTATGAAGGGTCAATAACCTCAACTCTAGGTTCCGGCCTTTTGTCTGTCCCGAGCTTTTGAAATAAAATCTTCACACTTTGCTTTACTTCTTTTGAACTTACGTTTTCAAATAACCATGTCACCTGACCAAATAAGTTTTATAGCTGTTCAATGTAAAACAGAAATAATTCATCTTAGTTTTCACAGTAACGACCTGTATTCAAATACCTCAATCCTGTGACCGCGCTGAAATAATTCAGTCAAGTAATTGATTTGTCAGTTGACAGAAAATTCATTGGAAACTATTTAGATAATTAAATAATTGTTTTTAAGCAAAAGTGGCTGTTTGCATAAATTTATTGAAATGCACTGTAGATTAATCAATAGGGAAATTAATCCTTAGTTGCACCTCAACCTTTAATATATTCTCTGATCTCTGTGGTGTACATAGTGACTTCTTTAAGAGATAAATGTATTTTTCACATTCACGAGACTGTTTCAGAGGGTGTAATGTACAAAGCCTTGCTTAAAATGATCTCGATTGTTTTCTTTGTTATCCGGTAAATGTTTTAAGCTTTATTGCAGTAACATCATCATCTCATCCTCCAAAGTTACAGACCAAATTTTAATTTCAGATGAAGGCATTCATACTCTGTAACTTCCACAGAAGCAGAGGGTGACATGGTGAGATGAGGGGCCACTGTGGGGCAAGGTAGGGCAAGCCTCAGTGGGCACAGCTGTAGCTCCCAGTCATTACTGCTCCTCTACTGGTTTAGAAGAAAAGGGCCAGTCCCGCCACATGGCCACTCTGCCACGCCTGACCCCTGTCCCCTGCCACACACACCCAGGAAGGCCCGGTAGCACCAGGCGGCACCTCAAGCGGTTTGTCTGCCTCTCACGTGTGGCAAGGCAGCAGAGCAAAACAGAGAGGTGTTGCAGGGTAGAGACTGGGCTGGGTTGGAGGCAGCGGTGAGGGCTAGGATGGGTGGGTGTAGAGGTTAAACCAGGGTAGGGGGGCTCAATTCCTTCTTCTCATCTCCCGACTGACCATTCTTTTTTGCCATCTCCTCCTCCACTCTTCCACCCCTTCGACTCCCCTCCTCCCTCCCTTCTCTCCCTTTTGTGGCCTGTGCACCTGCAGCCCTTGAGTCTGGGCAATAAAGCTGAAGGATTTGTCTACTGGAGGTTGGCGGAAAAGTGGGGGAATCATTAGACAGCATGGGAAATACAAAAGCAACAGGTTCAAACTGTGGTTGCTTGATATGGTGCTATGCCATATTCCACAGTGATGGGCTTGATGTAATGCAGTTTGACAAAGGAGGAGTGAATTTAAGCAGATTTGCATCCAGATTTTCCCCTTGTTTGGGTTGGTGTCATTATGAATCAGTTTCATCTGACACATGATTAGCTTTCCACCCTTGGCATGCTTTGTCATGTATGTAAAGGTAACAAATCTCTGCTGTTCTATGAACAACGTGTGTCTGCCAAAGGTCACGTTTTCATGTGCTTAGAAAAGTTCAGCTTTGTGACAGAACATTTATCAAATCATCCAATAGTCTGTTAACTTTAAGAAGTAAACACATACAAGAACATCTCATTTTTATTAGAAAGTTGGAAATTTGGTTTTCACTATACAAATAAACAGCATGTATAATAAAAAGCAGTCATAATAAAGTAACAGTGATGACTCTAATAAAAATCTTTAATGTATTTTTAGTCTTATTTAGTAGAGAAACACCTTAATTTGTTGCCAAGTCAGGAAATCTCTCTAAGACTTTTATTCCCTGCTTTTGCACATGTAAGGAAACGGTTGGTGATACTGTTCTTTAATGTGAACAAACCAAAGGAAAAGACTAAAACGTGCCATGGAAAGAGACGGACGGATGGTTTAACGGGTCAAGGAAAAAATAGATGAACCTTGTCATTTAAACCATGACCTGTAACACCACCATGTCACGTGTATCTGTAACATCACTTTGTTTGTTTTATTATCTGATGTAGGTGTCCAAGATTATCACATATTGATGGAAATATCCAGACTCTGACTATGGTTCCCCAGTGAAGCTGGTTTCACAGTCAAAACCTACATGAAGGTAAGTGCG